GGTCTTGGAGCAGTCAATTCCAGATCTAGTTTAACCTATCAAGTGAATGAGTTACTACATGAAATTTGTTATGATTAAAGTACACATCCTGAGCTTTAAAACAAGTGGTAGATAACTTAAAATGGATATGTGTGCTAAGAGTTATGATTGCTCAAAGTTGGAATTGAAAGTCTGGAATTTAACGAGTAAATAGTAACCCGAAAACCAATCACAAATTTCAATCTGTGGGCTTATTTTGTGAATCGCTTGAACCATAATGCTTTCAAATGTGTACTCTGAGGGGTTAAAGGAAGAATGTTTTAGATATACTACTGGGAAGTGTTTAAAATCATTGGAATTGAAAACGGAATTTTTGGAAGCTTGAACACCCTATTCGGCCAAACCAGTTTCATGAGGAAGGAGTTTGATTTTTGAAAATGGATATTTGAATTTCTCATGAAAAATTGTGTAGGATTAAGCCAAGAGAACCTTGATTCCCAAGGAGGAACAATATTGTTAAAATCAAAGAAAAAGAGGAGAAATTGTTAAGTTAAAATTAAAGTGTTATGTTTAAGTTATTTAGTTATTAATGTAGCTTGTATTTATGCTTGAATCAATAGGTGTGATGAGGAGGAATCAAAGGCAATCATAACCCCTTAAGGAAACCAAAATTATCCAATGACAAAAGGTAGCATTGAATTATAATTTGATTGTTTATCTTGCTTGTTTAATGTGATTATGTTGTTTGCTTCGATTGAGGAATTGTGTTGTGATCTTGGTTGATTGGATGGCTTTGGGCTATACTTTGGCCAAATTCATTGAATCATGTTATTGTGGAAGTGTTGGTGTTCCTCTTCTAGCATGGTGTTAAATATGATTTTATGTGGTTTGATTATGCCTTAAGGCGTGATAACATGTCACATTATAACTTGCTTGATTTACATGATAATTATAGTTCAATTGCTGCTGAGATTTCTATGAAATCTCATTCCTCTTATGTTAAATTGTGTCTCAAATAGTGAGTGGCTCATCCATGGATCAAGGCAAGGAATTGGTATTAGGATAGAAGAGCATTATGGAAATTATATCACTAAGTTATATTATGTAATGTTTTAATGAACTTTATGTTAAGTTATAATGAATTATGGATGATAATATAATGTAAATTGTATTGTTATGACATGGTCTGATGCTGGAATATTGAATGGTGCAATGTCAAAAGGATAAGGAAAAAGTAAAAAGGGAAATAATTTCAAGAAAAATGTGATTAAGAGATAAAAATACCTAAATCAAGGGTAAAATTGTGACACATAAAATAATAAGCAAATGATAGAATCTGGACTTTAGATTTTATAGGAAATTAGATCTCATTTTAGGCTTTAAATCAAGTAATAAACCATTAAATTTAGAGTTGTGTGCTAAGAGTTATATCCTTCCAAAGTTGGGCTAAAATACTGAAAACTCAAAAATTGACCATATGAACAGTACACTTTGTCAAATTTTCTAGTGCTGTTCTGGATAGAACTATGTACAATGAATATTTTTTCTCTAAAGAAATCTTAGCAAGCTTCAAGGGAAAATTAGAACCACCTCATTTCAATTTTTTTTAGAATTAGTTATGAATTTTCAAAGTTAACCAAAATTTGGATGAATAGTGTACGGACAGACTTATATACAAAGTTCTGAAATTGAAATATTTCACTCGAAAACATTGGAAAATGCGTTATAATTCACTCAAAAACATTGGGAAATGCGTTATAATTGTTCCAATCAACGTATAATATGATATAAAAGGAGGTGTTATACTTTTTGGTATCAGAGTAAAGGTTCTGCCTCTATTTAAGTTGCACTGTTTTGACTGTTTGATGTTGTAAAGTGTGAATTATGAATTGTGATTAGTTGTTGTGATTGATTATGGATTGTGGTTGCTTGATTGAATGATATTAGTTGAGGTTATATCTTATGGTGGAATGGTATATTATAGATTGAGTTGGGTGCAGGAAAAGTTATGGCTTGCTGTAGCAGCAATTCTGGGGAAACGGTAAATCAAAGGATGTCGGGGGAGTCGTTCCTAGAATAGTACCACCCACACATATTAGACCCCGATGACCTGACTCCACCACATAGATACTACTAACTCCTCAGTGAGATAGAAGATATCTATTCAGAAGAGGACTCTAATGATATAGTAAGGTTGGATGAGGGTGATGCCTAGAGTGCTATAAGAGCTCAGCCACGTCTAGTGCTATTCAAGTAATACCAATTAGGGTGGTGAGACCAAGATAAGACAATGTCAAGAACATACCCATCCAGCAGAGACCCTTAATGGTAAATAAAGAGTTTAGAGACTATGATAGTATCCTTAGAGAGCTAAAGGAGTTGAGAAGACATATAGACCAGACCCAGAACCAGTATGGTATTACCTATTTGGGTTTTCTCCTTTATGTGAGACTATTATACAATAAAGTAACTGAGAAGGATCTAAGTATTGGTGATGCTCTTTGGAGCTGAGCACTGATAGACACTTTGCCAAGAATGAGAGTTTGGCTAAATGAGATTTAGAAGATTTGTGGCCGCTCCATATCACGTACTTTCTATCAGTTGCTTGATGACTTGGAGATCTTTATTCTCATTACATTTCCTTTTTCTGACACTGTGTTGTGAATATGGATGAATATATAATATATTAGATAGTTGTGGTAGGTTGTGCGGATACTTGAACCGTGTTTTGCTGACTGTACCATATATGTATAATTGTGAATAGAAAAGCAATATAAAGTGTCTTTTATGTAAAATGATGATTCTGTTCCTCTTGTAGTTAAGACGAAAACAACAAAATGGTAAGAGCAAGATGAGGATTAAGAGGAAGGGAAGCTAGGACAAGGGGAGAGTCATCAGGACCCCCTGTTGACCCAATACAAAGAATTATGGAAAGATTAGAGGAACAGCAGAGAACTATGGCCAAGATACAAGCCACATAAGCTAGGCAAGAGCAGGAGAGAGGTGCTATGATAGCTATAGCAGTAGCAGTAGCACTGGCATAGTTATAGCAGCCTAGGCAAGGAATAGCCGGGACAGCCCAACTCGTACCACCATAGCAACCATAGAAAACCACTCCTGTGAGACCTCAGCATATTACAGAGCTTGACACACTGCAGCAATGGATTGTTAAGTTTACTAAACACAACCCTCTTGCTTTTGAGGGAACATTTGATGTACAAGTGGCTGAGGACTAGATAACTCGGCTAGAGAATGTTTTCAATATCATGGAATGTCCATCTGAGAGGAAGGCTCAGATGGTAATCTATAAGTTTGAAGGGGAAGCCGACAGATGGCAGAAGAATACTAAGCTGGTCCTACAGGCCAATGGAACCCCTATTACATGGGAAGTGTTTAAGGACCAATTTTTCCTTAAATACTTTTCCTGATCTGTGAGGGAGGAGAAAGAAGCATAGTTCCTTACCATAAAACAAGTTGCGAATGAACCTTTTGATGAGTATCTAGCAAGGTACATTGAGTTATCCAGGTACTCCACTTACCTACAGCATATGAACGATGAATGCTGGTTCACGAAAAAGATGATCAGGGGGCTAAAGCCCTAGTTAAGGAAAAAGGTGGCCCCGTAGCTGTTGGAAGTCTTCAATAAGGTAGTAGAAGTCTGTCGTATCACCGAGAATAGCCAGAATCATACAGAGCTGGCTAAGGCAACCCTACGAGCTGAGAAGTTAGGGACAAGGACAGGTCAAGAAAACAGAGAGGTTCAATTGGAGTAAGAAATCGAGGTAGGGAGCCCAATGAGGAGGTGTAGAGAATATCTACCAAGGAGTAGAAAAAGTTCATCAAGGAAGGGAACGCAAGTGTTGTGGCTGAAATTATAGAGATAGGCCGTACACAATGGGGTCAGAACATGTGCTTCAGATGCAGATGACCTGGACACTTTGCTAGGGAGTACCTGTAAGGTGCTGACAGCACAAGAAGATCTCAGGCTCGGAGCAGGGTGTTTGCCCTTAATTGAGAAGGGGCTCATAAGTCACCTGAGATGATCCCAAGGTATGGTTACTGTGAATAGTTACCTTGTGGATGCTTTGTTTGACTCGGGTACCAGCCACTCATTTATATCGTATGATTGCACTAGGCGCTTAGGTCTTGCTTTTGATATATTGATGTATGATTTGTGTTTTTCCTCTCCCATAAGAATAAAAATTTTAACTTCTGCTATTTGTTTAAATTGCATTGTCTAGTATGCCTACTATTGCACTATGTTAGACCTAATATGCATGCATTTTTGTGATATTGATATAATCCTTAGCTTAAACTAGTTGTCTTCCCAAAATGTCCTCCTCAACTGTAAAAACAAAACACTGATCCTTCCTACCTGAGTATTGACCCCTTCGATGGAAGTGAAATTGAACTTTATTTCGGTGGCCCAGGCAGTTAGGTGGTTGAGGCAAGGTTGCTAGGGTTATATGGTGTTCTTCTCGATAAAAGTAGAGATGGAGGAAGGAATTTTAGATATTTCAATAGTCTGGGAATTCCTTGAGGTGTTTCTAATAGAGATTAGCAGATTGCCACCTGAAAGAGAAATAGAATTAACTATTGATTTAGTACCAGGAACAAACCCAATCTCAAAGGCTTCGTATCAGATGGCTCTGAATAAGATGGTAGAACTGAAGAAACTGCTGGAGGAGCTTTTGGAGAAAGGTTTCATACACCCCAGTGTATCCCTATGGAGTGCACCAATCTTGTTTGTGAAGAAAAAGGATAGTGGCTTGAGGTTATGTATAGACTACTGTGAGTTGATCAAAGTAATGATCAAGAGCAAGTATCCATTATCATGAATTGATGACTTGCTGGATTAGCTGGCAGGAGCCATTGTATTCTCAAAAATTGACTTGAGATTAGGATACCATCAGTTGAGGATCAAGGCAGAAGATGTCCTAAAAATTGCCTTTTGAATGAGGTATGAACATTACAAATTTTTGGTAATACCGTTTGGTTTGACAAACGCACCTACTATATTCATGGATTATATGCATAGAATCTTCTACCTATACTTGGGTCAGTTTGTAGTAGTATTCATTGATGATATCCTAGTGTATCCTAAATCACCAGAGGAACATGAATGGCATCTGCGAATTGTGTTGGGCACATTGTCAGAAAAGCAATTGTATACCAAGTTGAGCAAATGTGAGTTTTGGCTAAATAAAGTAAAGTTCTTGGGCCACATGATTACCTAAGACGGAGTAGCAGTAGACCCAAGTAAGGTAGAAGCAGTATTGAATTGGGAATGGCCAAAGACATTAATGGAAGTGAGAAGCTTTTTGGGACTGGCAGGGTACTATAGGAAGTTTATACAGGATTTCTCCCAGATTGTCTTACTACTGACCAAGCTCACTCAGAAGAACCAACTATTTAGTTGGAATGCCAAGTGTGAGGCAAGCCTCCAAGAGTTGAAGCCGAAGTTGACTTTGACTCCTGTACTAATAATCCCCAATCCTATGTTACCATACATGGTGTATACAAAATATGAGTAAGCAGGGATTGGGATGTGTGCTGATGCAGCAGGGTCTAGTGGTTGCTTATGCCTCACGACAGTTAAAGACTCATGAGGGGAACTATCCTACACATGACCTTAAGCTGGCAGTGATTGTATATGCCTTAAAGATCTGAAGGCACTATCTATATGAAGCAACCATTGAACTATACTGTGACCGTAAAAGCCTCTTGTACCTGCAGGACTAGAAGGAACTTAACATGAAACAGAGGAGATGGATGGAATTGCTTAAATAGTACAATTATCAAATTAAATACTATCCAGGAAAAGCAAACATGGTAGCAAATACATTAAGCCGGAAGATAGTACAGGTTGTATTGCTGATGATAAAGGAATAAGAGTTAATTGAACATACCTGAGATTAGGAGCTCATCGGCCAGATATAGCTAATTGTGGGCCAGATTGGTATTACAAAAATGGAAGCACAAATCATTGAACAAATAAAAGAGGCCTAACAGAAAGATCAATTGGCTGATATTTTTAAAGCGAAGGTGCTGAGAAATGAGAAGAAGGATTTTGTGATAACCCAGGAAGGGATCCTGGAATATAAAGGAAGAATTTACATTCCCTAAAACTCATAAATTAAGGGGCAAATTTTAGAAGAGGCATACAAGAGGTGATACACTATACATCCATGCATGACTAAAATGTATCGAGATCTTAAAGAATCGTTTTGGTGGCCTGGTATGAAGAAAGACATAACAAACTTTGTGTCAAGGTGCCTTACTTGCCAAGAAGTAAAGACAGAACACCAAAAGCCGTCAAGATCCTTGCAACTACTGAGTATTCCAGAATGGAAATGGGATAGCATTTCTATGGATTTCGTAATGGGATTACCTTGTGCATCCTCAGATTACAATGTAATATGGGTGATTGTGGATCGACTAACAAAGATGACTCATTCCCTAGCCATCAAGAAAGAGTACCAACTAAAAAAGTTGGCACAGATTTACATCAAGAAAATTGTGAGGTTGTACGAAGTACCCGAAATGATCGTATTCAATAGGGACCCATGGTTTCTCTCTAGATTTTGGAAAGCACTATAGGAAGCTATAGGCACCAAGCTAAGCTTTAATATGGCTTATCATCCTCAAATAGATGGGAAGATAGAACAAACTATTTAGATGTTAGAGGATATGCTAAAAGCTTGTGCCCTAGATTTCAAAGGGAACTGGTATGAGTACTTGCCACTGGCAGAGTTCACCTAAAACAATAGTTACCATTCCAGTATCCAGATGGCTCCTTGTGAAGCATTATACGGACGGAAGTATAGATCTCCATTATGTTGGATAGAATTGGGAGAAAGAAAGGTAGTTGGTCCTGATTTAGTAGAGCAAATCTCATAACAAATAAAAATGATCTAATAGAGGCTGCTTACAGTACAAAGTAGACAGAAGAGTTATGCCAATGTACAAAGAAAGCCTCTAGATTTTGAAGTTAGAGATCATGTTTTTCTGAAAGTTTCTCCAACTACGGGTGTAGGAAGATTGATGAAGGCTTGTAAATTGACACCGAAGTTCATCGAACCCTTCCAAATCTTGTCAAGGGTTGGCCTGGTGGCTTACAGATTAGCCCTACCCCCTAACTTAAGCCAAATCCAAATGTCTTCTATGTCTCTTAGCTGAAAAAGTACCAACTGGATCCCTCTCATGTCCTGAAATACGAAGACATAGACCTGCGAGATAACCTTACCTTTGAGGTAAAGCCAGTAAGAGTGATAGATCAGCAGATCAAGGCTATTTCGATGGTTAAAGTCATTTGGAGTGTTCTAACTCAGGAAGAGGCTACGTGGGAGAAGGAAGACAACATGAAGACCAGATACCCCGAACTGTTTAAATAAGGTATGCTTCTAAATTTCGAGGACGAAATTTATTCAAAGGGGGGAGGAATTGTCACATCCCGAGAAATTTCATCTGGATATAGGGAATTAAAAATTAGAATGAGGGCCAATGTAGAAACTAGACGGGGAGATGAAACAACTTTTGATGTGAAACACTGATAAGGTCCGAGGTGGCATTTTCGTAATTATCGATCTAGGAAGGGCAAAACAGGAAATTCTGAGAAAAATTCTAGAAAGTTTCTAAAAAATGGTAAAAGCATAAGTTAGAGGTTTTGGATTCTTGGTTGAGGCCCAAAATGTGGAATTATCATGAAAATATATTATCATGGAATTTCCTGTAAACGGAGGTTTTTCGGGAAATTATTGGGAAATCAGAGAAAAATAATTATTTTAATTAGTTAAAGGCCTCAATAATTTTGAAAAAATTATGGAAAAATCATCTAAATATTTATTTGAATTTATAAAATTGGTTTTAGGCCTTGGAAGTCTAGGATTTAATTTCAAGGAATTTATTTTCCTGATGACACTGATAAAGGCCTAAGCAGAGGAAATTCAAAATAAATACCTAGAGGTGGCAAAAGATTTTGAAAATTTCCAGATCATGTTCTTATTTAAAAGGTGAATTATCATGGAGAGAAATAAATTTTTGGAGGTCTGAAAAAATTATGGAATGTTACCAGTGAATAGTAACCGATAAACTGTTGGAATGGTTTGGGATTTTGGTTTGGCTTATGGGCCATCCTAAACCATTTAAGAGACCCACATTAGGCCCAATTCAACCCAATTTCATGCAGCTTCTGGACCCTACTATTTTTAATCAAAATAAAATGTAAAATTAAGGGATAATTGTTGGAAAACCCTAGTGATGGACACTTGGTTAAATCTAAAGCTATCTTGCACTTGATGGATGCCAACTCACCTATTAAGTGGCATTTTAGGCTTCCAAAATTTAGAGGAAAATGGCAGTTTATTTGTCTATAAATAACCCCCCTAAAATACAAGAAAAATGATAGAAAATTAGAAAAAGAGGGAGAGGTGCTACCACTTTGTGTCTAGACCAAAAAGACTGAAATTTGAGAGGTATTTGGGCAAGGAATCATTCAATTTTTATCAAGAGAACTTCAAGGTATGTTCAAGCTTTCCTATCCATAAGTTTTAAGTTAGTTTTGGTTGGGTTTTTTAAATGAAAAATCAAGGGAAAATGCTGCACAATTCGGTTAATATGCTTGGCTATTAGAGAAGGATAGAAACCTTAAATTTGATATGAAACAAGCTTGTTTAAGTGGTGTGTGAAGTGGTTTTTGGAAGAAAATCAACCTAGGGTCCCTTATGCTTCATTTCATCCAAGCACTGTTCATAGGACAAGAGTTTGTTTCACTTCAATTTGATGATTCCAATTGGTTTAAAATGTGTTTTTGTGTAGGGATATACTATTGGAAAGTGTTTAAAATCATTGGAATTGAAAATGAATTTTTTGGAAGCTTGAACACCCTATTCAGCCAAACTAGTTTCATGAGGAAGGAGTTTGACTTTTGAAAAACTGATTTGATATTTGAATTCCTCATGAAAAATTGTGTAGGATTAAACCAAGAGATTATTGATTCCAAAGGAGGAACAATATTGTTAAAAATCAAAGAAAAAGGAGGAGAAGTTGTTAAGTTAAAATTAAAGTATTATGTTTAAGTTATTTAGTTATTAATATAGCTTATATTTATGCTTGAATCAATAGGTGTAGCGAGGAGGAATCAAAGGGAATCATAACCCCTTGAGGAGACCAAAATTATCAAGTGATAAAAGGTAGTATTGAATTATAATTTGATTTTTTTATCTTGCTTGTTTAATGTGATTATATTTTTGCTTGGATTGACGAATTGTGTTGTGATCTTGGTTGATTGGATGGCTTTGGGTTATGCTTTAGCCAAATGCATTGAATAATGTTATTGTGGAAGTGTTGGTGTTCCTCTCCTAGCATGGCGTTAACTATGATTTTATGTGGTTTGATTATGTCTTGAGGCGTGATAACATATCACATTATAACTTGCTTGATTTATATGATAATTATAGTTCAATTGCTACTGAGAGTTCTATGAAATCTCATTCCTCCTATGTTAAATTATGTCTCAAATACGGAGTGGTTCATCCATAGATCAAGGCAAGGAATTGGTATTGGGATAGAAGAGTATTATGGAAATTATATCACTAAGTTATGTTATGCAATGTTTTAATGAACTTTATGTCAAGTTGTAATGAATTATGGATGATGACATAATGTAAATTATATTGTTATGACATGGTCTGATGCTGGAATATTGAATGGTGCAATGTCAAAGGGACAAGGAAAAAGGAAAAAGGGAAATAATTTCAAGAAAAATGTGATTAAGGGATAAAAATGCCTAAATCAGGGGCAAATTTGTGACACATAAAATAATAAGCAAATAATGGAATCTAGACCTGAGATTTTGCAAACAATTAGACTCATTTTTAGCTTTAAATCAAGTAATAAACCATTAAATTTTGAGTTGTGTGCTAAGAATTATACCCTTCTAAAGTTAGGCTAAAATACTGGAAACTCAAAAATTCACCATATGAACAGTACATTTTGTCAAAATTTTTGATGATGTTCTAGATGGAATTGAGTACAATGAATATTTTTGTTCTAAAGAAATCTTATCAAGCTTCAAGGAAAAATTAGAACCACCTCATTTTGATTTTTCTATAATTAGTTTTAAATTTTCAAAATTAACCAAAATTTAGATGAACAGTATACAGACGACTTATATACAAAGTTCTGGGATTGAAATTTTTCACTCAGAAATATTAGGAAATGCATTACAGTGGTTCCAATCGAGATATAATATCATATCAAAGGAGGTGTTACATAATGTCCTTACTTTTACCTCTCAGAGTACACGTTCGGAAGTGTTACGGTTCAAGTGGATATAAAACAAACCTGCATATTGAAAATTTTAACATAATTACTTGGGTTACTATTAACTATTTAAATTCTAGATTATAGGTCCAACTTCAAAAATTTATAACTAATCCTATAAAAATTGTATTGTGGTGCTCTAAAATTCTACTCGAAGCTCTTTCAATTCTCTATAGGAAAAAAATATGAAACTAGAATTATCTTTGACCAATTCGTACAATTTATTCACTAAACTTTACTGTTCATTTGGTAAATTCTGGAACTTCCAAATTTCTTACCTCAAATTTGAAAATTCATATCTCCTTGTTTACATATCCAATTAAGGTGGTCTACATCTCATTTTAAAG